AGTCTCTCTAAAAAGCAATGGAAAAAATACCCTCATGTGAGGATTAAAAAATAAAAAAATAGAATGACATCTACTGTTATGTTATGTGAGAAAAAGAACCTTTTCTGTAGTTCATTAGTCATTTTCATTAATTTGTGCATTTTATGTTTTAAAGGAAGAGCACACTGCTAGTAAAATTACTGTAAATGACTGGAAGGACTTGTATGTAACCTGTAAATACTTAAGTACTCTAAACCATTATTTGAAAAATATTTCCAGAGAGATTCTGAAATCACATTTGGTTATACCATCTGGCAATAGTTCTTGTGAAAATATATTTTGATAGTCTCTATATCACTGAGTTAATTGTCTAAATAAAAGATAATCGATTTCATCAAAACCTTTAAGCCATTTTGAAACTAAGGTCTAAAATACTGAGATGCTAATGTCATTGTACTTTTTCCTTTTTAAAATAGGTAAGATAATTTTTAAGTGTGTTTTTCAGATTATAAAAATAATACACTTGTTATGGAAATCAACTAAAAAGTTTCTCCCAATCTCAAAGTTGCATAACAGTAATTATGGATACCTAGGTGATGAAATGGCAGATCTATCTGCCTTTAGATATGTTGTAGAGTGAATAATAACACAGTCATGTGATATTCTTGATTAAACAAAACTCTGTTTGCATTTTGTAGTACTAATAATTCATGGGTAGCAAACTATCCAATATTTATTTATATCAGGTTAATTATGAGGCCTGTTATTCCTAAAGGATTGGAAGTGTGTGTGTGTATACTCTTTTAACTTGAAATAAACATATATAGCAATCTCTTTTAATTCCAAGTTAAAGGAGTAATTTGGCACATCCAGAAATAGGGACCTTTTTTTTTTGGACACAGAAAAACTTGTCAGAAAGATTGGAATCAAATATTATTTAGGGTAAGCTATCTTTGAAAGTGAAGTGAAGTCTTTTTTAAAAAAAGACTTATGTGATTTAAAAAAAATGTATATATTTATTGATTTTAGAGAAGAAGGGGGAGGGAGGGAGAGAAAGAGAGAGAAACATCTGTCAGCACTCCGGAGACCAAGCCTGTAACCTGGGCATGTGCCCTGACTGGGAATGGAACCCGTAACCTTTTGGTGCGTGGGAGGATGCTCAACCAACTGAACCACACTAGCCAGGGCGGATTTTTTTTTTTTTTTTTACAGTGTTATTAAGTAGATTGAATTTACCTTAATTATATCAGTTTGGAAAATATTGAAACTTTTTTTTTTTTTTAAAGAAATAGATCCCAAAGGAAGTCTTCCATTTGGTAATTTAATCAGTGCACTTGAAATTAAGGAATAATGGACGTAGAAAATGAGCAGATACTGAATGTAAACCCTGCAGGTAAGTATTAATATTTTGAACCTTGATTGTATTATGAGCAAGTTTGAGGCCATACCAAATTTTATGAAAACATGGTATTAGAACTGTCTTTACTTTAAAAACCATCTTATTCATGCTACCAGAAAATAGGTCATATGTTGTTTTTAAAATCAAGTTTGTGAATCTTATTTTCATAGAAATTCATCACACCCTTATTTTTCTGCCTATCCTTTCCCATTCCATATGTTAACACTCTTTATAATTAACTATATTGTACAGAGTGGAGAATAGTGAACTTGCTCAGTAATACTTTCACATGAGCTAGTTAGTGATTTCTATAACATAAACTGTTACTGGTATCTTTCCTAACTAATTTATATTTTATAAATTACCTAAGGGTATTTTCCCTTATTTTCTATCATACCTCAATAGGACATTATTATAAAGATGGATTTTTGAAATAGATGTCCAGATGCTGAGTTATTTCAGACAACGTGAAATGTGTTTCCAGTTTTTAGAATAACCTTTGTGGAGAGTTCATTAGGGTTTTCAACTGTTCAGAAATTGAGAGCTTTCATATTAGTGTATTTTAAGTAATTGTTTGCTTATAATTTTATTAATATTGGAAATGATTCTTTTTTGTAATTTAAATATATTTTACTCTTTAATAATACAGCTTCATTTTTTCAATGACTAATTCACTGTTGCTTACAAGTTACATAGTTTTATTTGATCTGAACAGACACTTTGAAGTTGAAACTTCTTTGCCATTTTGTATTTATAAATCTGATTTCAAGAGTGCTAGAAAATGATAATAAAAAATTATTATAGTAATTAATGATTATTTTGGTGCTGCTATACACAATAGCTATATGGGTACTGTATTTGTTTTTTTGTGGTTATAAGTGGGTATCATGTACTTCCTTCATTGAGGTGGGGATGGTAATACACTTTAAGATTATATTTCACATATAAGTAATAGCTTCTTTTAAAATACTTTTACATATATTTAAAATGTATTGGGGTAACATTGGTTAATAACATTATATAATTTTCAGGTATAAGATTATAGTTCTATATCTGTATACTCAGTTGTGCAATCTACACCCAACATCTAGTTTCCTTCTGCTTATTTGACCCCCTTTACTGACTCCGTCTTCCTGCACTCTCCTCCCCTTCTGGTGGCCACCATTCTCTTGTCTGCATCTGAAGTTTGTTTGTTACTCTTTGTTTTATATTCCACATATGAGCAAAATCATATGGTTTTTGTCTTTTTTCTCTCTTATTTCACTTAGCATAATACTCTCAGGATTCCATTCATGTTGTCATGAATAGCAATATTTCATTTTTTTATGGCTGAGTAATAGTCTATTTGGTGTTTATATTAGGATAGATTATATGGTCTAAACAGGTGAAGATAGCATGCTTTCAGTAAATTTTGTTCATTAAAATTCAAAGCCTTAGTTTACTTTCCTTGATGATGTGAAAAGTAATCCTATTTAGTCATCATTTATTAGATTGAACCATATGAAATTGCTAATATGTGACCATGACTGACCTACAAAGATGATAATTTTATGTGATTCAACCTAATGTAACTTATGACTATAATTGGTATAACAGTAGATGACTAACATACTTAGAATTTTCTTTCTTCACTTTCCTCTTTAAGATCCTGATAACTTAAGTGACTCTCTCTTCTCTGGTGATGAAGAAAATGCTGGGACTGAGGATATAAAGAACGAGATAAATGGAAATTGGATTTCGGCATCCTCCATTAATGAAGCAAGAATTAATGCCAAGGCCAAAAGGCGACTGCGGAAAAACTCATCCCGGGACTCCGGCCGAGGCGATTCAGTCAGTGATAATGGAAGCGAAGCAATTAGAAGTGGAGTAACTGTACCAACCAGTCCAAAGGGAAGGCTGCTAGATCGGCGATCTCGATCTGGGAAGGGACGCGGACTACCAAAGAAAGGTTGGTGCACACCACACCCAGACACATGTGGAAAATACTGTCAGGTTCTCGTACTGCACTTTCCTTGTTCTACGAGTGAGAGAAGTTTAAACAGTGATAACGTAAGATTTTGTGGTTTGTATATATTTCTTACATAGTACTAAATTGAGGATCATCCCACTTTTTCTTTGAGACTTTTTTCTTATTTGAATAGATATAGTTTTTTTGAGCAGAACTTTATTTTCCAGCAAAATACACACTGACATTTTTCACAGTTATGAATTGTGCATGTACTCTCTTCCCTTGCTTGAAAGAAATAGGGTCAGGAATTCATCATCCCTATTGCCTAATGAATCAGATTATGTCCATGTGAAGAATACATGGTACATAAATTTGATTGGTAATATTTTTCTCAGAATTTTAATGATATCATAGATCTGGTTCCCAGTTTTCTTTAGCTCTGTTTATCTTGGGTACTGGAATAGAATGCCTGTTTTACCGCTGTATCTCCAGTGGTTGGAGTAATGACTAGCTATGTAGGTATCTGTATGTAAACATTTGTTGATTGAGGGGGTCTGTCAGCTTTTGTCTGTGGTAGGATTTTGGTACAACTTGGTGCTTTCAGAAGCTCCCGGCTTCAACTCATAGCCTAGGATTCTTGCAAAATGTTTTTCTCCTCTTTCCAAAGTAGTAGTTCTTGTTGAATCGTCTATAGCCATGGTCGGATCAAAACGGAGCCTAGTTCTCAGGTTCTGTTTTGCTCTGGAGGCAAGGATTGTACTCTGGATATAAAATAAAAACCTCCAAAAAATACTGGCGATACTGTAACCTTCTTTTAAAATAATTCAACATATTGCACCTTGTCAAAACGTTTCAGTAAGTTTATGTAGGAAAGCATCTTTGAAAGTTGCATTTATTAAACTTCTGTTCGGCTTGTATATAGAAGTAGAGAGAAATGGTCAGTGTTATTAATGCTTAAATAGCAATTTTTTGTAGCATTGCTAGTTGCAAAGTATAGTTTAATATGTACTTTTATATCTAAAGAGTATTTGACTTTAAAACTTTTTATGGTGGTCAAGGTGCTTCTTTGTTAATTTCTTCCTAATTGAGTTTTCTTTGCCACATTTTACTGGCTCAGCATAATTTCTTTTTGTTTTGGTCTCAAGAAATGTCAAATAAAATTTAGAAGTAAACTAACATCACCTCCTTTGAGGTCCCCAATATAGCTATTTTTTCTGATCTTTTTTTTGTTTTGGTTTGCTTTTGCTTTAATTAAAGCAGCTGCCTTTTTAGTTTTAACTTTATAAGCTATTTCAACTTGATGTTTCTGTGTAGGTTATAAAATATCTAATTACTGAAAAGGCAGTGATCTGAATAAAAAGAGTCAAAGTATAACTCTCAAGTGGGAAAAAAGCCTAACAAATTAAAATAGTTTTTTAACTATTATTTTAATTAACATTTGAACATATAGAGTTATCTCAAATTTTAACTGAAATTAAAATTTATGAACTATGAACTTTGTCTCTTTGCCTTCTCAATTTAAAACTTTTCAGGTGGTGCAGGAGGCAAAGGTGTTTGGGGTACACCTGGACAGGTATATGATGTGGAGGAGGTGGATGTGAAAGATCCTAACTATGATGATGACCAGGTATCAGTGTTTTTGCCTTTTTAATATATATTTAAATACTTACAAACTTTTTTGATCTCATGTTTGTAGTTTACTCATATGTTTGTCAAATCATATGTTCTATGCCTGTATTTATTATTTATAACTGTTAAGTCATATATATGATTATATATACTAATGTGTGTATATGTAGTGTACAATTATATATGTATATACACACACATATTAATATAGGCATGTAAGTCATATATTTACCCAGAACCTCAGACTGTTAGGTTAATTTTGGATTAGGAAAACAAGATAACTGATATTAATGTATATTAATTTTTATTTGGTTTCTGAAGTGAATCAAAAATAGATCTTTACAAATTCACTTAAGATTATCAAGTTGAGTGTTTTTCAATAAATTCTTTTGAGTTAATTTAGTTTTTATAGTAATGAGAAATTGAGAAGAATATATATATTTTGAATATCATAAAAGACAGATATTAAGCTTCTTTTACATATTGCTGTTTAGGATGTTAAGTTTGGTAGTTTTGAAACTTGGATCTTTTTTCTAGGGATAGTGCTGAGAATATACATTTTTAATAGATTTTCTAATGAGTTTACATATATTTATCTTTTTACTGGAAAATTTCCAACTTATACAATAGTAGAATAGTATAATGAACCTGCTTGTATTTGTCTCCTAGCTTTACCAGCTTTAATAATTAGTACTCATGGCCAGTCTTTTTTTCATCTGGTACTTCCATTTACTCTTCCTGTTGTCTGTTCCTCCTCCTCACACCCCACATCTCTGGATAAAGTATCTGTATAAGACAAGACGTGGTAATGAAAATTTTAGATAGGAAGTTACCAGGGTATATGTTAGATTGTTTTTATTGTGTATTGTTTATATGTATGTTTTTAACTATTTTAACAGTTGGATATGGAAATATTTCTAAGAGAACATAAAAAAATATATTTTAAAAACAGTAGGATTCAAATACTATAGAAACTTTGCTAAATGTTCTAGTTTTAATATATAATCTTTCAACTTTATGTTGTTAGATGTAAGCCAGTCATAAGTTGTATATAAACATTTCAGGGATTTTTGCATAGGAGAAGGGGGATACTTGTTTTTGAAATTTCAGTTTAATAGTGCTTTTCACTTAGAGAATTTTTTGTCGCTACAACATAGATTTTTGTTTTACAGACGTTTTACTATGTTAATACCAATCATGAAGGCTTTGGTTCCTATTTCATTTTTTAAAAATGTGGTTATAATGAAAACACTAGATATGATAGGAAGCCATCTTAAAGCTTTTTGGTCACTGATGGATTGGTTTTGTGAGAGATACGAAGAATTAACAAAAGATAATGGGGAGTTGGAAGCAAGTCATATTTGCTGTGATTGGTGGTTCTAATCTGTGTATTGGTTTATTATATTTAGATTTTGTAAAAGAACAGTGACAAACTCTATATTTTTATATAAGTGATCAAAGCATATAGCGTGTCTTTTCCCCCAGAATTGAGATTACTAATCAGTTGGAATATAAAATTATAAAACAATTTCAGTTTATCTGAATATTTTGTTCTTTAATTTATAACTCTTCCCCTTCCCTTCCCAGGAGAACTGTGTTTATGAAACTGTAGTTTTGCCTTTGGATGAAACAGCATTTGAGAAGACTTTAACACCAATCATACAGGAATATTTTGAGCATGGAGATACTAACGAAGTTGCGGTAGGTTTCAAGTTGCAATAATAATTTATTTCATAGAGGAGAGAAAACACTATTAAAACATATCTAGAATGATCTTGGGTCACTGAGTAAGTTTAAGAATTTTCTTTTGTATAAATAAATTTCTAACTAAAAAATGGAGTAAAATTTCATGAATTTAGATTCTTACCTATTGGGATTAGATTAATTCTTACCTATGTGCCATTTCCTTCCCTGAAAAATGATACAACACAATGTTTTTATAATTTTTTAAATTACAAAGTATTTTTATAATTGATAGTTTATAAAATATAATTTTAACAATTTCAAGGCATTTATGGACCTTAAGCCTCCTAAGGGATCTCAGTTAAAAATGCCTAAGTTTCATTTTTTTGACATTCACTTCAATGTTTAGGATTAGGATACAATTTATCTTTGTACTTTGTCCAAAAAAAAAAAAAAAACACAGGTAAAGATTTGAAAAAAAGAATGTATACAGAAACCAAGAGAACAAATTGGTAATTTGTTATGGGAACATTTACTGTGTTATGGATTTTTCATAAAGTACATCTAAAAGGGGTAAAATAAAATTATTGGTCTAATTAGGATTTTACTGATTTAAAGTAATAAAATTGCAACTCTTAGAAGACTTTTTAGATTCTTTTAATTCAGACTTGGCTTTTTTGGTTGTCTGATACCCTGAAGGTTTGATATCTTTGGATTCATAGGATTTGAATAGGAAACAAATATTTGTTCAGTGCATTCCATGTGGAGAAATTTGTAACAGGTGATTCCCGCCCTTTTGAAGCTCAGTGAAGTGAGAGAATGATAAACATCATTAAAATACAATGTGAAACATTATATTATAGAGGAAGAATTTAAGTCCTTTGAGGGCAGGGACTGTTGAAAGCCTGTTATCTAACTAGCATGGGACCAATAGTATGCTGTGTGTGTGTTAACTGAGTAGTACTGTGAGCAGAGTGTTACGGAAGCATAAAATGGAGAGTAATAGAGAGATGATTCTGAGCCATCTAGTTGCCATGGTAAGATGGCTGGAGAGGGTTTTTCAGTAAGGAGGAGTGTTGTGTTTAAAGGCATTGATTTAGCTGTTCAGGCTCAGTCCAGAAAGATGAACTGGAGTGGGAAGAGACAATAGGGACACCAGATAGGTGCTTGTGAAAATAGTAGTGGCATTCTTTTAGTAATATACCATGATTTAAATATTCTGAGAAAACTAAGTAAAAAGGAAGGCACTCCAAGTAACTGAGTTAGAATTTAACCTCCAGGGTCAAAATGACTACATTCTATTTCCAACTTTATTCCAGCTGTGTGCCCTCCCTCAGCAAGTACTTAATTTTGCTGTGCTTTGTTTATGATGAGTATGGTGATAATACCTCCCCTCAAAGGGTTGCTTGAGTATTAAATAAGATAATATGAAATAAAATGACTGTTGCAATGCCCGATACATTATAAGTAGTCAGTAAGTCTATTGTATTTTTAATAGGGAATTTTAACTTTATTTCAACATTTAAAACAATAATCCCACTTAAAAACAATGGTTTAAGATCTCATTTTAAACTTCATATGACAGTATAAAGTAAATTTTTGTGTGAAGAGAAAGTTTTGCAGAAAAGTAGAGTATAAGCAGCTCATGATAATATAAAATGAATTTCTCCATAAATGCTTATAAAGCAGTATTCCTAGAAATAATGTTAAGAGCTTGTAAGGCAGAGGATTAGTTAACTCCTAACACCAAACTTCATAATAATATGTGGTTTAAGAAACTATTTTAGGTGCAATTCACTTTTTTTTAATTGATTGATTTTGAGAGGGAGGGAGAGAGAAAACATTGATTTGTTATTCTACTTATTATGCACTCATTGGTTGATTCTTGTATGTGCCCTGACCTGGGATCGAATCCACAACCCAAGCAGCTAAATAGGGATGAGGCTCTAACCAACTGAACGACCCAGATAGGGATGTAATTCACATTCTTGAGTTCATTGATATTCATTGATAGTTCATTGAAGCTTGACGAAGTGGGTCAATATGTAATTTATATGCAGAGTAAGATATATTTATCCTATCCCTTAAAATATGACTGCTTCTCTGATTATTTCCAAATGGGGAGAGGTAATGATATATAAAATCTTGATTTTTCAAAAATAAAATACTTGTTTTTTGAATAGGAAATGCTAAGAGATTTAAATCTTGGTGAAATGAAAAGTGGAGTACCAGTGTTGGCAGTGTCCTTGGCATTGGAGGGAAAGGCTAGTCATAGAGAAATGACATCTAAGCTTCTTTCTGACCTTTGTGGAACAGTAATGAGCACAAATGATGTAGAAAAATCATTTGATAAATTGTTGAAAGATCTACCTGAATTAGCGTTGGATACTCCTAGAGCACCACAGGTTTGTATGGTTTTTCTTGTTCATTATCTTCCTCCACTATTCTTTCAGTTATAGAAATAATACAAACTCCTAGGAAATTTTTTTGATGAAAGAGGAAAATATGGTCCATATTTCCTGCTACACAAAAATAGCCCTCTTAACATTTTAGTGTATTTTCCCTGAGCTGTTTTTGTTCCCCCCCAAACAGTTTTCATCATACTATAATTTTATATCTTTTCCCCCAATGCTCTTTATAGTTTTTAGGTCACACTTTTTTTTCCTGTCTGTAAATTCTCTATTATATGCAGCTAAGCTGTTTTATGTGCTGGGATTCTTAAAAAATGTAGATTGTTGTTATCGAGGATTGAATTTGCTTACCTAATGTTTATTAAAAAAGTAATCATAAGTAAGACTGCTCCTTTTTGTGGCGTTGTGAGAAAATAGTTAGAAAATTCATGGTTTATGCTTTTGTTTATGTTTCTTTTCTCAAAGCCTTATACTTTTATTAGACTTAATACAGGCTGACATTATAACATGATTTTCTGGTTTGAGATTGAAATGTGTGTAATTGTTGCTGGTTCCTTGACCAAAGTCTTAAATCAAGGTAGGAGAACTTAAACATTAATTTAGGAATAGAGTATAGGTAGGTTAATTCCTGAAAGCTGTGATTCAAACATGGACTTTTTTTTACACCAATACTCATACTTTAAAGAAATGATTATGTAAGTTCATATTTATTACAAAATTTTTGAAAAAATAAAAGCCAAAATGAAGAAAAGGGCCAGCAAAAATAATCACTGTTTACAATATTCCATTCTACTTTCTGTGGGTATAAATGTATAGTTTTTATATATCCTTATGTTTTTGTTTTAATAAAAAATGGATCGTATTGAATATGCTATTTGTAAACTTGATTTTCCTTACACCATAAAATGTAAATATATTTCCCTGTGGTCACATAATGTACCATCTTATTTGTGTACCATTTAACCATACCTTTGGACACTAAAGTTTTTTCCAGTTTTTATAAGAAATAATGCTATGAACATACTTTCAGATAAATATTTCTACAAAAATATTTCTACACAACTTTTCACCATGAGATAAATTCTCTTAATCAGTTTTTTGGGAAAAACCTAGTCCCATTTTTTTCCAGATAAGGGATTTCTCTTGACTTTAAGTCATTGACTTAAGCATTTTGATCACATACTCTGTTTCAGGCATTATGCAAGGTAAGGTGTTGGGGATTCAGTAGTGAGCAAAAGAGAGGTCTTCCCCCCTCTGTCACTTAACTTGAAGGTTAAGAGGGAGTGTGTGCCAAGCATGATTAGTAGGTGCCGAAAATTTTTTTTGAATACTCCAGCCTGTTTTAGGTATTGACTATGTAGTTTAACCAGTCTCCATCATTTATGTATTTAGAAATTGTATTCTGTAAAGGTTTATTTTAGATTTTTTAATACAGCTTTTTTTTTTCTTATTATAGTTGGTGGGCCAGTTTATTGCTAGAGCTGTTGGAGATGGAATTTTGTGTAATACCTATATTGATAGTTACAGAGGAACTGTAGATTGTGTACAGGCTAGGTAAGTAAATTAATTTTCCTACTTAGAATTTCAAATGAGGGGAAAATGCTACAGGATTCTATTGAAATGACACATGAATTAATCAGACATTATAGACATCTATTTGTCATTTGTTTGTATTCTCCACTATTAAAACAAAACTGAGAGGTGGTTGGCCTGATATAATAGGAAGAGAACATTACTATAATGCAGAAGCTCTGGGTTTTAGCTTAAACCATTCATGTCAAGCCACTCTTTTCTGGGCCTCAGGTTCCTTATTTATAAAATGAAAGGATCCGACTTAGAGTATTTAAGGTCCCTTCCAGTTTTAACATTCTGTAATTATTTAATATTCTAATAAGATGGACAGTATTAACAAAGGAGCCCCATTTCCATTTTATTTTGTATTTTATCTGTTACAGAAATATATATATATATTTTAAAATATATCTATTGATTTCAGAGAGAGGAAAGGAGAGGGAGAGAGAGAGATAGAAACATCAATGATGAGAAAGTCATTGATCGGCTGCGGCCCGCAACCCGGGCATGTGCCCTGACCAGGAATCGAACCCCGATCGCCTGGATCCTAGGTCGATGCTCAACCGCTGAGCCACGCCCAGCCCGGCGTAAAACTTAGTTTTATGTGAAGTGTTCCTTCTCAGGATAGGTGACTTATTTTTTAATAACATTAGATTTTTGTTGATTGAGATATGGAAATAATAGAGATGAGAATATTAACATGAGAAGCAACTTTTAATTTTGCTTCCAGATTTTTATTTTAAACAGTAGTCTTTAAAAAGACTTAAATTTTATGTTGTTTTTTTCAACTTTACCCATGATTTGGTCAACCTGCATCATGTCCAAATGTCAAAGTTAAATTAATTATTTTTTTTGTAGAGCTGCTCTGGACAAGGCTACTGTGCTCCTGAGTATGTCTAAAGGTGGAAAGCGCAAAGATAGCGTGTGGGGCTCTGGAGGTGGGCAGAAGTCTGTTCATCACCTTGTTAAAGAGGTAACTATTGGTTAATATCTTTAACTTAGTTTATATGTATTCTTCTAGAGAAATAAACTATGCCTTCTAGCTGGTATTTTTGTGGACAAAAATTAAGTCTTGTTGCTGCAAAAGGAAAATTGAATAATCTCTGTATATTTGGCTTTGTACCTTTTCCTATAGATTATCCAATAATTATATAATTGTTATTAAATTTGTATGATTTCTTTGACTTAAAAAAGGAGACTGGGTTAACTTAAAAGGGCTTTTATGATTAAGCAAGCTCTGTATGAACCTCAAAGGAATGCATGAATTCTTTTTCTTACATTGGTATTTAAAATTTTCAAATACTGTTGAAATAAGATTTTCTCTTGTAGTTATCCAAAAAAAAAAAAAATACACTTTATATGAGCATTTTGAAACTCACATAAAATGAAAGGATTGGACTTAAGAGTTTTCTTTAGATTATAAATTATGAATTATGAATATAATTCTCAGATTATAAATTATGAGTTACGAACACTAGAGTAGATCATAGTGGTAGATTTTTTAAGGAGGTTCACTACCTGTATGCGAGCTTTCAGAGAAGTAATTTATTACATTAAAATGCCAGATTTAGTCTCTGGATTATTTTTTTTCTGGCAGTAAAATGATGATGTATGACAAGAAACTTAACAAACAAAAAATTAATCTTATTTGCATATTTTAAAGAAAATTAGAAGACTTATAGTTCATGTGATTCTAATTTTAGATTATAATCTTTATATGTGACTGTAGTTTTGATACTTAATAGATTTTTTTAATCCTCACCCGAGGACATTTTTTCTATTGCTTTTCAGAGAGAGTGGATGGGGGGTGGGGGGAGAGAGAGAGAGAAAGAAACACTGATGTGAGAGACACATTGGTTGCCTCCCACACCCCTATGGGGGCCGGGGATCGAGCCACAACTGAGGTATGTGCCCTTGACTGGAATCAAACTCTAGACCTTTCAGTCCATGGGCCAATGCTCTAACCAGTGAGTCAAATGCAGTTTGGCAAGAAAATGAAATAAAAGGCACCTGGATTGTAAAGGAAGTAAATTCTCTAGTCCCAGCTAACACGATCTGTATAAGGAAAACCAAATGAATCTATACAAAAAAAAGCAAAAAACTAAACTGTTAACTAATAAATGAATTCAACAAGGTAGCAGGATATTGATCTTTCAATATACAAAATTCAATTTTAGTTCTGCACACTAACAATGCATGAACAGAAATAAAATTAACAAAATAATTATAAAATAAAAAAGATGAAAATAGAAATAAACTTATCAGAGGAAGTACAAGTTTTATACACCGAAAACGGCAAAACATTGTTGAAAGAAATGAAAGACCTAAATAAATAGCCCGTGTTTATGGATTAAAAGACTTAATATGATTAAGATGGTAATTCAGGTAGTCCCCAATTTAGGATGATTTGACTTAATGATTTTTTGACTTTATGATGGTGTGAAAGCTATATGCATTTAGTAGAAACTGTGCTTTGATCCTCACCTGAGGATATTTTTTTCCATTGCTTTTCAGAGAGTGGAAGGGTGAGAGAGGGACATCAATTGGTTGGCCTCCCACATGCGCCCTGACAAGGGCCAGGGATGGAGCCTGCAACCCAGACATGTGCCCTTGGCTGGAGTTGAACCCTGGACCCTTCAGTCTGAGGGCCTATACTCTAATCACTGAGCCAAACCGCCTAGGGCACAAACTGTACTTTGAAGTTTGATTTTTTCCTGGGCTAGTGATATATGCAGTTTGATACTTTCTTGTGATGCTGGGCAGTGGAAGCAAGATGATTTTGCCTAATTGTAGCTAATGTAGGTTGTTCTGAGCATGTTTAAGGTAGACTGGGCTAAGCTATGATGTTTGGTGGGTTAGGTGCATTATATATATTTTCGACTTACAGTATTTTCAACTTACGATGTGTTTATTGGAACATAATCCCATTGTAAGTTGAGAAATATCTGTACTCTCCAAAATTAATATTTTGAGGAACTCCCAAACTATTTTATGGTATGTAAATTATCTCAACAAAAAGTGGTCAAGATAAAAATTGAAATAAAACTACCCAGTATTTCAGTTTGACATTATTTGGATATTCATTTACTTTTATATGGAAGGATGAGTTGGACAAAGAGGACTTTTAGAAATGTATACATGTATTCGTAATTCATCATTCTCAAAAATTCATGGAACCTGATGGAAAACATTTAAAATACTTTCAGTTACATAACAAAGTTTAAAAACTAAGTCATATAATTTAAATAATAAATGTATTAATTATAGAGTAAAAATGTTACTCAAATGACATGTAAATATTTTCTAAAGCATAATAGGAATTATAAGGATGTATTCTGTTAATCAAATTTTATTTTACTTTTTATGAAATATGTTTTAGAAGTATGAAATATGAAGTAGAGACACATGAGATTATTTTACTCAGTTAGCCAGCATTGAGCATCTACTAGGTGCAAAGGTGATTTTAACAGGTAATGTATAGGGAAGAACATTCCTAGTTGACATTCTCAAGCCGAAAACTTTTCCCCATTTTCTCTGGGGCCATAGATGTTATTGTATAAATTTGAATAGGAAAGACAAGACTTGTCTCTTTAGCTGTTTATAACTGGAAGCTGAAATACTCATGAATGTTGTAGATAATGGGTTTCAAATCCTCACTTTTAGAGAAAAGTATATGGAAATCTTTACCCTGTCTAGTAAAAAAAACCCTGATACTTCATTTTTTTGGCTCTCAGTGCAATTTTAAGGTCATCTTGATGAAAGTGAGAGTTTGTGCCACTTCAAAAGTTCATTTGGAGACTTTCAGTTAGTGCCCTCTAGTGGTACTTAAGATCCCTTATTTTACAGGGAGCATTAAAAAATTATGGTGTCAACTCAGGCCATGTATGACTTAAGTCTATTTGTAAATCTCAGTGATTATTAAGACACACTGAAGTGCTTCATTTTCTTCATAATAAAGAACCAATTAAAAATTGAAGACTGACTTTTTGTATGAAAAAATTTTGTTATGATGATGTCAAGTCTATATGTTCTTAGACAGCTGTTTGTAATCTATTTCATCATGTATATTGAGAATGAGGGTAAGTAAATCCTTTGACAAAGCACAATTTTTTTTTTTTTTTAATATATCTTTATTGATTTCAGAGAGGGGAAAGGAGAGGGAGAGAGAGAGATAGAAACATCAATGATGAGAGAGTCGTTGATCGAGCCCACAACCCGGACATGTGCCCTGACCGGGAATCGAACCCTGATCGCCTGGATCCTAGGTTGACGCTCAACCGCTGAGCCATGCCCGGCCGGGCAGCACAATTTTTAAAAACAAGTTCTAACACATCTCAATTTTCAAACTTAATAGATTGATATGCTGCTGAAAGAATATTTACTCTCTGGAGACATATCTGAAGCTGAACATTGCCTTAAAGAACTGGAAGTACCTCATTTTCACCATGAGCTTGTATATGAAGTAAGTTTACTTTGATATTCCAAAGAGAATTGTGTTCTTTTTTAAAAAAATTGATTTTAGAGAGGGAAGAAGAGAGAGAGAGAGACATCAATGTGAGAGAGATACACAGACCAGTTGCCCTGACCAGGGATCAAACCCCCAACCTACATATGTGCCCCGACTGAGAATTGAACCTGAGACCTTCTGGTGCATGGGGAGACAGACTAACCAGCTGAGCCACACTGGCTAAGGCTCTTTTGTCCCTTTTTGTACTGCAGTGACATAATGCTTCTTTAATAACATACGTTTTTTTCTTCTTCTGAAAATCAATGAAAAATATCCTTGGGTGAGGATTTAAAGCAAATTAACACTAATGGAGAAAGTTGCTTCTAAATTGTTATGATGATTATGGTTACATATTAAATGGATCTAATACATTTTAGGAGCATTTTCTTATATGAACTAATGACCAAAAATACATTCATGCATTCATTCAATTTTTAGGCCATTGTAATGGTTTTGGAGTCAACTGGAGAAAGTACATTTAAGATGATTTTGGATTTATTAAAATCCCTTTGGAAATCATCTACCATTACTCTAGACCAAATGAAAAGAGTAAGTATAACATTATTTTGAACAATTTTTAGCTTATACCTTAAATATATGATAGAATACAGATGATGAATTAATGACATTTTCCTTTAGATATGTTTAGTAGTATTATGTCTATAGTTTTTTGTTTTTTTAATGGCAATGTTTACGTTTGAGTCTCTTGCAGCCATTTCTTGGAAATTAACACTTCAATAGGTTTTTTTTTAACCTGTGTTTTTAAAAATGTGATTGTTCTTCCTCAAGGGTTCGATGGTTTCTATTTTATATCTAGAGAGAAACATGAACATTTAGCAAATTATACTTTAAAGTACTTAATTTATTATTATTTAAAATTGTATGCATTGCTATTAAAGTGTGAGTGAAGTTCTTTCTTGACTTTTTTTTTTTAAATGTAGTAAATGTACTATATAGAGAAGTAGATGGGAAAGAAATGTGTCTAATATCTGATGTCTGCCTGAAGATCTTTTGAGACAGCAGTTTTAACTTAAACAGCCTATAACAAATGTACCTATTACCTGTATTTTTCAAGGTTCAGACTTGACTTTAGTCTTATTATATGAACATTTGGCCTTAAATATAGCTTGATGACAGTGATGAGTTGTATGGCATTATGTATTTTATATGGGCTAACAATTCTGTATACAATTTCATTGTTTTAGGGTTATGAGAGAATTTATAATGAAATTCCAGACATTAATCTGGATGTCCCATATTCATACTCTGTGCTTGAGAGATTTGTAGAAGAATGTTTTCAGGCTGGAATCATTTCCAAACAACTCAGAGATCTTTGTCCTTCAAGGTACTTTATTACTTTCTCAACCTAAAATACTGGGTGAGGTGCTTGGGAAGGCTAAGCTAATTTTTTATCATTCCAATTCTGTCATAAAAATAATACTATCTTCCCTGGAGCACTCAAGTGTGAAAATCATCTATTTTGTGTTTATGGAGAAACAAGGGTGAAGCTTATTTTGCCCCATTGTGAATCTAAACTCATAAAGCCACTGGAGGGAAGCTAATTTTGTGGAGCAGTTTTGTGTACCAGGTTCTGTTCTAAATAGTTTAAATATTATTTCAGTGTAGATATTACCATCAATAAGATGAGAAAATTGAGGCTTAGGGAGGTGTAATGTACCTTTTCGAAGGTCACACATGATAGAGGCCAAGGATGAATCCAGACTTTTTCTGGCTTCAGAGACCTAGGATCATTCCTGTACCTTATGTTGTTTCCTTTTGCTCCTTCACAGAATGGAGAAATGGGGCTAATTGGATCTGACTTTATATTTGTGCTACTAGGAACAAACTCTTTAGTAATAGCTTATCTTATGTGGGTCTGTTTTATGTACATTTTGTTTTTACAATTTTTATCAAAAATTTCCTAAGCTTTGTGTATTTTTATTTAAGTGTATTGTGAGTGCTAAATCTCAGAAAAGTACTTCTTGGTGTAGTGTCCCTTGTTCTAGAAAGTAGAAACCATTAAGAGAGAAGGAAAAGATAACAGTGGAAGATACAATTTAATGGCTTTGATAAAAATATTTGAAAATGTAGGTCTCTACTTGGTGATGGCACCCTTTACGTACTGATGTGCCAAGCAGTATACATCAGTAGAACTGTCAACTTTGTCAAGACTTCTTGCTACTTACTGCTTTGTTCCCCACCTTGGTCTCCTAATACCATAGTGTGTGCTTTTATGTTCACAAAAATATAGTTGGTTTCCAGTTAGACTTAGTATGAAAAGGAATCAACACCCTGGTATTGGCTTTTTAGAAGTTTCAGCCTCTGTTCAAAGGTCTAACTGGTTATTTGTTACGCTTTATTCTCATTTGAGGAGATACCTAAACTTCTTATAGACCCACACCATAGAACTTCGACTCTTACCCTCTCTTCTCCTGCTTATTTAGTTTGTGACGTGCACATTTGTGTATGGCCTCAAGTATCTGTGCATGTTGGTTTAGGGTCAGAGAATAAGGGCTGATTCTGCCTAAACTGTTCTCCGCTTATTGCTTTAGGCTGCTGGTCAACTATTTCTCATGGGTTGTTGCTACTACATGTAGCTAAAATGTGGTTACAGTACAGAGCAAGGCCGCTTGAGTTTGAAATAGCATGAATCCCAAAATGGGGCACAGACTGGAATTAATTTGATTCTGATTTATTTTTTCATACTTGGGTTAAAGCTTTTTTACATCTGAAAAAAATTTAAAATTTTAAACATAGATATTTTGATAGGTTGTGTAGGTCTAGTTTGCATAATTCCAGATTATATTGTTCTTTCCTATTTGGTTTACTGTTTAGCTTTCAAATAATATTAACAGTAGAAATATTAAATTTCTAAATAGCAATGTTTGCCTTATATTTTAACTTTTTTTAAACATGACTCCCTTTCAACAGTGAACTTATTTCAATAATTAAGCTTTTATTCAACTAAAAACTGCTCAGATTAGCAGTTCATTTGATATGCTATATTCTAGGATATATATAGAAGGGAAAGAGTCCTTTTCAGAAGATTTAGAGGCCTACTGATTTTTCTGTTTTAAACAATACCACCTTTTAAAACTTAATGGATAACCAGGAAATACCAAGTTTTAAATTGTTTAAATTGACTGTAGTCAGAATTTGTATGTGTTTTCATGTTTATGTTTTTTGCGTTACAGGGGCAGAAAACGTTTTGTAAGTGAAGGAGATGGAGGCCGTCTTAAACCAGAGAGCTACTGAATATAAGAACTTTTGCAGTCTTAGATGTTACAAAAAAAAAAACCAAACATACCTGAATTGTAAGAGTTGTTAGCACAGTTTCTTTTTTTTTTTTTTTTGTTTTTTTTTAGGCACTTGTTTTGGGTACAAGGCATTTCTGAAATTTTATAGACTTAAATTTAAGGGGGATTTTTAAAGCAAGTGTTTTTTTTTTTGTTGTTTGGGGTTTTTTTTGACCGTGTAAAGGAGGGACAGAAAAGTAACCACTTCTTGAGTGGAATGTTCTCATAAGCTACCTTTTGTAAGTGCCATGTTTATGACATAATCATTCCAAGTTTTGCATTGATGTCAGATTGCTACTCCTTTCTTTCAAGGACAGTGTTTTTGTAGTAAAATCACTGGTTTATACAAAGCTTTATTTAGGGGGTAAAGTTAAGCTGCTAAAACCCCATGTTGGCTGCTGCTGTTGAAATACTGTGCTTTGGGAGTAAAAAAAAAGTTATTTGTCTTAAAGAATTTTAAGAAAATGAGTTAGGAGACTTATTCATCTTTCCAGGGAACATACTGATTGGTCTTAAAGACTAGACAGTTAGGTAAATGGTGGCTGGAACATCTATTTTTCTACAAAACTGGAAGAATGAACCCGGTTCTAGAAGAATGTATGACAAAATAAAACATGTGAAGCAGTATTGAGTCTTTATTGGGAGTACATTTGTTTCAGGTTTTTAAAAAGAGTTTTATTTTACATAGCAAATTTAAAATATAAGGGAGTGTATTTGAACCTAGTGAATTTGTTTCTTACAAACTTAAAAGTACAATAGTATTTATTTTAATATTGTACTTGGGAAATGCATGCACACTTTAAAAAAAATTATAGCCTAATGAAATTTCTAAAATACATACTACCTTTCATCCTTCTTAAGTTCTATTACCAAATAATGTGTCTTACAAAATATTCTTCAAGAAACTCAGTTTTGCGTTTATTCAGTGTCTGAGAAAATAGTAGCTACCAATAAATAAATATCTAAAGAATGATCACATTTCTAACTTCTTTTGCAGAGCCTTGATTACTCAGCAAGGCTTTAAGGTCTGTGGTAATTTAAATTGTCTGTTACTGTCTGCAGCCAACAAATCAAGAATTATATTCAGAATTTACAAAGGTATTTTTGGGAATATACCTATTACAGGTTTCACTACAGTGTTTTAGAACTAACACTACAAGTTGAATTTCATGTTTACCTCATGGGCTCTTTTAAGTCCACATTACTTTCAATTTCTAGGATTTTGATACCTGGATGATAAAGGTAGCAAGTAATTCATTAAGTCCTTAAAATCAGTATAATTAAAAGCTCAGGTGAAGGTTTCTAAAATAAAGTTTAAGAAATAGAGTTCTATCATGACATGTAGGATCAGTGGTCATGCAAAATAACCTTAAACATCTCACACCAAATTCATAAAAAGTTTTAAAATTAGGTAATGTAAAAGCCCAGCATGAACACTTAATGCAAAATTAGACTGTATCTTTAAATTCAGTTATTAATAAACATGGAAAGATTCTTTGAATATAAAAGTTGTATTTAGTCACTTGTGCCTAAGAATGTTACCAGCTGAGTAATGGGAATGGAAAAAACTAATTTGATTTGCAGTTCTAAAAACTTGGGTAAAAAAACACACAAAACCATAAGATTTGGGTTAATTTAATGGCTTATATTCAGTACAAACCAGAGTAATTTACCATACAAGTTTCATTAGTCTTGGTTATTTTTATATTATCTATATGAACATCAGTTTATTAACTTGCTATTTTCAGCATACAGGTGGATTATTTTCCAATAAAGTTAATAGTAAGGTAGGGTGATATGTAGAAGTGCTCAGTTATTCAGTGAGTCATTTGCTGCTGTTCCTTTTCTGCCATTTCTTGTTGGCGAATTGTTTCTTGTGCTGCTTGCTGCATTTTCTCCAGTTTTTCCAGAGTCAGAGATTTTAAGGGTAAAAGTTTGGGTTTACACAGCACCATTGTGCTTATATCTTCCACAGACAACTGCCCTAAGTTTAAAAAGAAATAAGAATTTGATGGAGTAATCCAGTTGTTTGGTGGTTTGGATTTGCAGTTAGGATGAAGATCTAAAACTTAATCCCATTGTTGATGAAAATCTATTCTCACAGTTTACCCCTGTAACATTTCTTCAATATAAACATAAAAGCATTTAATGTTAGGGAGTTCATGAGGAAGACAAGTTTCAAATTTTCTACCTGAGATTCTAAGCTACCACAAGACAAAACTTTTTGTGTCAAATGTTTAATTTGAAGAGATATGGGAGAAAATGCGTAGTGCCTAAAAATACTTGCATAGTACCCAAAAATACATAGTGCCTAAGAATACTTATATAGTGAAGTGTATGGTATTAATTTAACATGAATATTCAAATTCCTGAGTGTTTAATTGAAACCTTCAGCGTTTCTTACTACTGCTTTAGGTTTCTTTTTTACCCACATTCAGACCTCATTTAATATTATGGTACATTACAGTGCTCTTTTGTATTGAAAACTTTGAGTTGTAACCTGCACAATCTTGAGTATAACAGGATTTCTAGGTTTAAACAATGCTTCGTTTGTCATCCTTTTACTGGGAAAAATTAAAAAAGGAATGGATTACTCCTTTACAACCTACTCGTGAAAGAAGCATAGTGGAAATGGACAGTAAATGTGGGATACAGAACACAGTTTCAGATTTTTAGGTATTGAGCCTACTATGTGACACTGCCTATTACTTTTTAAGTCTCTACAGTATTATATCATCTAAGTATTTGTGATTTAAATACCTTGTTTTGGAAGAACTTCCCGGAACATGGACTTCACTTCTGCCATATCTGAATTGCTGGATACAGTTTTTCCTTCAAGGAGAAATCGGTATTTAAGAATGAATTCCCAACATAGTGCTTGAGAAATTTCCATTGTAATTTAAGAAGTAAAATCACAATTCCTATAAAAGATGAACTACGTATCCTTGTATAATTTCCCCCTTAATTTCTTGTGGATCTTTTAATTGAAATGGTTGAGATCACATAAGCATCTAGATCTTGTCACCTGTCAATGGTTAATAGTGGTGGTAATTGGAAGGCTGCATATTCTAAATTTCCTCCCCTCCTAGTGAAAAGTTGGCAGGAAAATTGGCACTTGTTCTTTAGACAAAGATAATTATCTAGTAGATGTCAGCTGAGGAAAACAAAGGCCTTTGTGTGCACCCACCTAGGTTTACTGATAGCATCTCCCCTGAATGGTGGGTGACGTAAATAACATGACCATTTGGGAGGTGGTAAGAGGTAGTTAGGGAAAGGATGAGGTAGGAGGTAAACATTTCCTAACATTCTCACTTCTCAATAGCTAACAGCTGGTTTCTACTTGAACCCTTTTGCTATAAAGAGAAAAGGCATCCCAAGGATCAGTTACTGGCTACACAGCTGCAAGCTGTAAGGAAGCAGCAAACAGGTGAAATTGGCTCTTGAACAGAAGTGAGGTATGCTTTCAGTTTACTATTTTCCTCAATGCAGAAATACTATATGCTAAAGTACCAACGAATACTTGAGTATTTTGTTATGAATATCCCAGCATATACACCATCTTTGGCTGATGACATTTGTTTCCACTGTTACATCCCAGATTACAGTTAGGCTATATATTGAAGGTGTTCTGGATATAATTTGTAGCCTGTTCCCTTTCCAAACATGATTCTCCAGACAGTCCCACCCTTTTTGTGATATTTCGCCATACTGATGCCACCTGACCATGTCTTTCACAACATCACCACAGAAGAAAGATTTATTATTTATAAAGTGATGCTGGCTTGGTGCCTGCCTTAACCGCCCACTGCAGATGAGTTGTGATCAAGTGAAGCTGCTTCTGGTCTTAGTTATTCCCACTCCACTACTACTTTGACACTGCTGATGAAACCTTCCTACTCTTCACCAAGCCTCTTCCCCTCATTCCTGTTCCTATTCAGGAACATCTAAAGCAGCTACCTTAGCCCTGTGCTGCTCGTCTGAGAGTAAAGATGGAGTAGGGACTGGACTAGAGAATAAAGCGAGCCACTCATTACTAAGTGGAATCTGAGATAAATGCATATGCAATTTCCTTAGAATGCACAGTTGCTCCTCCTGCCACATTCTTTCCTTATACTCGGGCTTTAGTGGAGTGCTTTACTAGAGTTGGTTCTTGTTCCTAGGTCCCCCTAGGCACTGGCAGGTATCTAGTCAGTGGTAGGTATCTAGTAATCATTTCCTCCCCTCTCCCCAGGTTACGTTGAAGGCTAATAACATTACAGATCCTGAATGTAACTAAAATAAACATGTAGCCTCTCCATTACAGATAGCACAATGAAAATAATCACTATGCTCTTATTTGGCCTAACCTGAAGTGAGACACCACTAGACGGGAGGGTATACATCACAGATGTTGCTAAATGTGAAGAAATACGTAACAGCTGAGCATCTTTATATCATCATTTTTATCACCAAAATGCTAAACTGGTGGGCTCTTAGCTGTTTTATAGGTTAGCAATGCCAGCCACCCAGAATTCAATCACTATCCTTTGCTTTCTCTGGTCCATACATACCTCTTTCACATCCACACTCTGGCCTGAGGAAAACAGTGAAACTTGGTGCTCTACCAAACCTTAGTTCTCTGACTAAGCTGCCATTGTTATGGGAAAGGGTGTGGGGCCAAAGGCCCGGTGTGGGGAAGATTAGTGCCGTCCCTTGCCTGGGTGGAGTGCTTTACTAGGGTTGGTTCTTGTTCCTAGGTCCCCCTAGGCACTGGCAGGAGAGAAACAGGAAGGGAAGGGTTAACATAAGCATCGTGGTGGCTGGGTGCTTCACTGGCAAGGCTACAGGGTCTTGATAACTGCCCAGGGAGTTAGAGTAGGAAGGAGCATTCATTTCCTTCTCCAGATGGCCTGCTAATAGCTAAACATGGGTGTTTTGTCTGGTGTAACGCGTGCCCTAAGGAGCTGTGGCTACTCTAAGGGTACTTTCTTACGGTAACATAAGATGTGTGTAACATCAGAGACAGATGGACCATAGAAGAAACATACCAGCTATGGCTGTAATTCATGTTTTATCATACAACTGCCACATCATTCAATTCATTAAATATCTACCATGTGCCAGGCACTGGTCATTAGTGAATAAGAGATACAAAAACCAAAAACTTGACCCGTTTGGAATATACAGACTAGAGTAAAGGGAGAGAAATATAGAATGCTAGAAGGTAGTACATGCTATAGAAAATAAAATAGTTTAAGGGGATTTAGAAATGCTGGGGGTCGTGGTATTGCAATTTAAATAGGAAAATCACTATAGCCTCAAGGTAAAAATCATTCTCATTTGGTACATATGTTATGTCTTTTGAAATTGCAAGAAAATCAAAAGCCTAATAGTATCTGCAGTTAGAGAAGGTATAGAGAAATGGGCGCTCTTTGTTGTTGGGTAGTTTTGTTGGTAGAACTCTTAGAGGAATATTTTGTAGTAGCTACTAATATTTTATTAGTATTTACCAAAACTAAATATGTACATTTTCTTTGACCCAAACATTCTACTAATAATAATGAGCCCTAAAGAAACAAAGCATGGGTGTATAAAGCACTGCATTGCACAGCAAAATGTTCAGTAATGGGTAAATCTAAATTTTCACCAATATGTCAAAGGTTAAATTATGGAACAGCCATACAATGTAATACTATGCCAGACTTTAAAATGATACAGATTGTCCAAGGCATATTTTAAGAGAAAATACTAAACTGCAGAAATAAAATACAATTCTTAAACTAAATAGAACCCAAACTTTTACTGCTTAGAATATAGTGTCAATCATTTTTTGAAGCTCTTGGTCTGGGTAATGAGAAAATCTGTCGCTGCCTTTCCCCCATGGTTCCTTTAGTTTGTAATTTCTCCTAGAGTAATGGTTTTAGATGGATAGTGCATTTCAGAGTCATGACAAAGTAAGCAAACTTGTCATAGCCATTTAAGCTGGATGACTAAAATTAATCTAGAAGAATCTGGAGGGAAACCAAATCTTTGTCATGAAATATTTTACTAAGCTGTAGGAGTGAGAGTTGACACTTAAGTCTAGAAAGGATTACTACTAGAAATCAGTCATACACATGATAACATAATCATACAACTTGGATAAGTTAAAAATCTCTCGGGTGATTTAGTTTGGTAAACTAAATTACGGGTGTGAGACTAGACAAGAACACTAAAGCATGCTTTTGAAGCTTGAGAATATACATCAGTGGTCCTCAAATTTTTTGCTTTCATAACCTCCAGAGATTTTGAAAAACTAAGTAGACAAACTACGTACTCCTTTACATATTCCTAAATTGACATAAATTTGTTCTATGTTTAGTTGTAAAGGATGTAATTTCCAGCATACTTAAAAATAACTTTTATATCAGTCTTTGAAAAATATATCCAATATAATCTAAATGTCATAGCACTTTGATAACTACCATCATCCATTAATTAAAAAAGGAAGAATTTGCCCTGGCTAGTGTTGCTCAGTGGTAGAGCATCGGGCCACACACCAAAGGGTAGCGAGTTTCATTCCCTGTCAAGGGTGTGTTACCTGGGTTGCAGGTTCATTCCCAGCCCTGGTCAGGGTACATGCAGGAGGCAACCAATCCATGTGTTTCTTTCACAAATATGGCAACACCAGGCCCATATTCCCACATGGCAAAATTTAGCTAGGGCTGGGAAGTGATGCCCCATTTAGATGAGCATGAGGAGTTCTCCAGTTTCCACTACAGCCTATTGTTTCTCTTTCCCTTACCTGCCCAGCCACTACAGGCACTTGGCTTTGCAACTTTGGTAAAATACAGAACCACTGGCTTTGCAACTTTGGTAAAACACAGAGCCACTGCAACATACTATATGCCAAACTGTCCTGTTTTATAATTAATTGGGCATTAAACAAAAATACAATCTGGGAACTGAGGGAGACACCAGAAGCAATCCTGTTTAAATAAAGGACAGGACATTTTTCTTCTGTGAATAATAAGTTAGTTCCCTTTAAGTAAATTCAGTCTGGCTAGTGCAGGTTGTGGATGGCGGTAGCAAGGCTTCTAGGAAAAACAGCGAAAAGTTTTTTGTCTTATCCAAGACTTGTCGTTGACTTAATAGATGAATTTTCAAACGCAGATTTCTGAATGTGAACTAATATGAGAAAAAAGGTAAAGAGGGAGCCCAAAAAGAAAGTGTTTTTCAGCAGACACAATGTAGTAATGCTCACGCACTCTCAAGTGGTTGCCCACATGCTAGCAGGGTGCCTAATTTGGCTTGATAATGTTCATTTGGACGTGCCAAATAACGTCATATGTCATGTAGTTGGAAGCCATAGTAGATTTGTATTCTGTTTTGCTATTTGGCATCTGCTGGTAGAAAAATGTTGCAACATGTTTCAATTTGGCTAATTAATCCAGACTCATGTGAATAAAATGTGTGGTGTATAGCTTCCAGAATGTGCTTAGGCCTAAGAACAGGAACTGTTTTTCTTGGGCAAACTTAGATGATGGCATTGGTTTTGGTATGCTCCAGTAGCGGACACTACTATTAAGTTAGTAGAAAATGACACAACATCCTACTCATGCAAAATGTCTTTTTCTAATAATTTTTGCTATTTTAAAATTCAATACTAGAAAGTGGTCCTAAAAATGTTAGCTACTAACCTTTAAAATAGGTATTTGAAGAACTTTTTACATTTTCAGCATCTGAGATATATAGCTATTTCAACAGTATGCAAGGAAGGGGCAATAACTGTTTGATAATTTCTTCAGTGTTCCTCAAAAAGCCTGATCCTCAGATCACCTGCATCAAAATCCCAATTTTGGACAATTATTAAAAATACAGATTTTTCTGGAGGGTTCCTCAGACTCTCTGAATCAGAACCTTTATTTTATTAAATTCTCCACATTAAACTTGGAGGACCACTGTCTTAGATTAATTCTCACTCGATAAATATTTCATGCTCACGGGCCCGAATTGGACTGCTTTAGAAATTATTAATAATAACTACCACACACTGACTACATACTTTGTGCTATACACTGAGTAAAACACTTTATATATAGTTGAGTCATTCTGTTCAACAATCCTAAGGGGTTTTATGGTTCCATTTAATAGACGATAACTAGAATGAAAAACCATCCAAGGCCACCAGCTAGTGAATGGCCCTGTTCCTGAAACCCAGGTCTGATTCTAAGGTCTGTGGTTTTAATTGGTACTGTACATTATTTTGCTTTACTTGAATATGGAGACAAAATTGTTTCATGGTCCCACATGAGCAAATTCCCTTCTACACAAAAGACGTGACTGATGGAGTACATTACTTAACTTTCAATTTCTGCCCTCCTGGAACATTTCCTCTGCTCCCTTAAGTGCATTCTCTTCCTTTCACTTATCTTTCATGATCAAAAATAAGTCTAGGATATGAGGAGTACTGAGCTTGGCAATTTGGGGAGTTTCTCTTGTGATTATGGAGCAAATTCTGCAAGTACGTCTCTATCCATTGAGCAGAGAATTTTCCTACTGTACTGTTAAGTATAATCTTGACTTTGAAATTTTTAATAGACTTTGATGAATGTTACCAAAAAGCTATCACAAGAACACCAGGAACAATGAGGACTTACAAGAGAATTTCAGGGGGGAAAATAACATTGCCTAAATTGGAGTGTGGCCACATGGCCAGCAGTTGCCTTGGTATCTGCTTTGATAACATCAGGATTCATCCATATATGAATTGCAGGGCCCACACATCTTTTATCAGCAGTCCTTGGAGAGCCATGAGTTGAAACTCATGAAACTATGCTGACATCAGTACACTTTGCTGCAGATTACACTGCATCAGCTCTGAGTGTAGGCAAAATAGCAGCAACACTTAAAGATAGGCAGTCTGTGTTGCCAGTCCAGGGCACTAACACATACTCTACACATACAGAAGCATTAAATTCGGAACTGTAAGACTACAGAAAGATGCATGTGCTGAGAAGTGGAATGGACTCAATTGATGACATGGGCAGATGTAGCTGCATTTAAGGCACTTTAACCATGATTGGAAAAGCATGAATACTGTGAAGTATGCTTGCAAAACAATGTTAAATAGAACCTAATCAAATCTCTAAACCAACTTCTGATTTACAAGATATAAAAAAAGGAGACAAAGACCCTGGCCTGAACTCGTCAAAATGCCAGTGTAACAAGGGGAAAAAAAGAATGGGGGAACTATTCTACATTAAGGCTAAAGAGTTACAATATCCAAATACAATATAGGAAGCTTGACTGGATCCTGATTCTTTGCAAGGTAGTGGAGGAGGTATAAAGATATTCTGGGGTCAAATGGAAAAATTTACACAGTGGATTTTAAATATTACAGAATTATTAATTTCCTTAGTAGTGATAATGCTGTATTTTGCAGGAGAACTTTATACTGCTTGGGAAATACATGTTGGAAATTTTAGGGTTGTCTACTTAACAATAGGTGTCTGCAACCTGTTTCCAAATGGTTCAGTGACAATGAAAAAGTGCATGAAAAGGGATGAAATAAATATGGCAAAATGTTAAAAACTGTTGGATCTAGGTGAAGGGTATATGAATATTTATTGCATTCTTTCAACTTTTTAAATGTTTGAATATTTATTTTAATAAAAACTGGGGGAATAGATCATGTTAGAAAGTCTTCAGAGGGTAAGCCTAATAAAAGGTTGAGTAGTAGGG